CTCAAAGCCAACTTGAGGGCAATTAATAACCAACTTCTCCATAGCTTCCTAGGCCTTGATTTAAAAACCTTCAGCCATGTTCTTCTGAGGGCAACCTGACAGTCAAGATGTAGTCCAAGGAACCTCATATAAAAGGTGTGTTTTGCTGAACCACAAAAGTGTTTTGAGTCTCCTTTATGGAGAGAAAAGCAGATTATAAATAAACATAGTCATAATAGTCACACTATGTAACAAAATTGGAAAATTCTGTTCCTAGTTTTAAAGTGTTATGTCCTATGTGTTGATGAAGTCTTTCATGGCTGGAATCACTGAGTTGTGAGTTTTCCAGGCTGTATGGCCATATTCCAGAAGCATTCCCTCCTGACGTTTTGCCCACATATATGGCAGGCATCCTCAGTGTTATATCCTGTTTAAGTGTGCAGTACTTCCTTTGAAATAATAGTAATAATAATAATACTTTATTTATACCCCGCAACCATCTCCCCAAGGGGACTCGGGGCGGCTTACATGAGGCCAAACCCAACACATACAGCAAAGCAAATATACAACATAAACACACACAACAATAAAATATAATGAAAAATTTAAAAGATACAAAAAACAATACAAGTAAACACACAAGTCAGTATAAAATCACAATAATTGAATCACAATAATTGAACTCAATGGGCAGGGCTGGTTGCAAAGATTAAAAAGTTTAAAAACACTGAGTGAGAAAGCAATGTATCTGAAAGTAGTTGTTCTATTCCAGAAACTTTTGGGTCTGCTGTTCTACTCCAGAAAACTTCTGTTGTTCTACTCCAGAAATTTTGATTTTTGGGTCTGCCACAAACTGTTGAATTAGCTGGGGCTGGGGCTTCATTGAAAAACTAGATAAAAATGTGCTGCAGGATGACACACAAAAACAAAGTTTTCCAGTTTAATACACTTTTCCAATGTTTTATGACAAAACCAGTTAAGAACGGACATTTATAACTAAGGAACAAAAATCGTGTTGCACGGTGTAATTGACAGACCCATTCATATAACTGGAGTCAGAACCGAGAAATTATATTTATATCAGATTGCATTTGTATGTCGCCTTTCTCCCAAAATGCTTATTGTGCTTATCCATCACACTTTGTTGTTCATTCGTTCAGTCATCTCCGACTCTTCGTGACCTCATGGACCAGCCCACGCCAGAGCTCCCTGTCGGCCGTCACCACCCCCAGATCCTTCAAGGTCAGTCCAATTCATCACACTAGAGAGAGAGAAATCCACTTTAAATCCGGTTTCTGCCTCCTGCAAAATTCTGGGGTTTGTAGTTTATTGAGGCTGTTAGAGGCCAAACTACAAACCCCAGAATTCTGGAGGCACAAACCGAATTTAAAGTGGATTTATTCTCTAGTGTGGTGAGGTAATTATGTAACCCATTTCTCTACGAAGGGCAACGTTTCACAGCCCAGCCGTGGGGAGAGAGGTTCATCTATGCCAGTGTTTCTCAACCTGGGGGTCGGGACCCCTGTGGGGGTCACGAGAGGGTGTCAGAGGGGTCACCAAAGACCATCAGAAACATAGTATTTTCTGTTGGTCATGGGGGTTCTGTGTGGAAAGTTTGGTCCAATTCTATCGGTGGGGTTCAGAATGCTATAGTGGGTGAACTATAAATCCCAACAACTACAGCTCCCAAATGGCAAGGTCTATTTTCTCCAAACTCTACCAATGTTCACATTTGGGCATATTGAGTATTTGTGCCAAGTTTGATCCAGATCCATCATTGCTTGAGTCCACAGTGTTCTCTGGATGTAGGTGAACTACAACTCCAAAAACTCAAAGTCAATGTCCACCAGACAATCCCAGTATTTTCTCTTGGTCATGGGAATTCTGTGTGCCAAGTTTGATTCAATTCCATCATTGGTGGAGTTCAGAAGTCTCTTTGATTTTAGGTGAACTATAAATCCCAGCAACTCCAGCATTACCAAATGACAAAATCAATCACCTCCAACCCCACCAGTATTCAAATTTGGGCGTATCGGGTATTTGTGCCAAATTTGGTCCAGTGACTGAAAATACATCCTGCATATCAGATATTTACATTATGATTCATAACAGGAGCAAAATTACAGTTATGAAGTAGCAATGAAAATAACATTATGCTTGGGGGTCATCACAACATGAGGACCTGTACTAAGGGGTCACGGCATTAGGAAGGTTGAGAACCACTGATCTATGCCATCCTTCGCGAGTGTGGCTTAACGCGGTGTGGCACCACATTTCCTGCGGGGCTGTGTGAGTTGTAGCTTGGCTAGGCAACTGCACTCAAGGCCTGGCAAATAACAGCTCCCGCGATTCCTTTAACACTGACCCCACAGGAGTGGTATCAAACCGCATTGTTGCCAGGGTGTGGATGCACCTTGTGTGGTTTCCTCCCTCCCTCGCGGGGAGCCGTGGGAGAGGCCTCGGCCCTTTAATCCCTTCAAAGGCCAACCCGCCCTAACCCAACCCTTGGAGGGGAGGGAGGCCGCAGAGAGCGCTCCGCATTGAGATGCTGGTGCCTCGCCAAACGGCGACTCCAGGGATTCCGCTTAAGCGTCTGAGGGGAAAAGGAAAGGGCCTGAGGCTGTTAGGAATGGTGGGAGTTGAAGTCCAAAACACCTGAAGGGCGGGCCCAAGTTGGCCCAGGCCTGGTGTAGATGCAGACACAGTCCAAAGTGGAAGGGTAGAAGGAAGGGCTCCTTTCTCCCTTCTCTCTCTGCGTATCTCAGCTTCGGCGGGAAAAATGGTTCCAATATAACTTTCTGAGGGAACGTTTCTCGGGAACCCGTTGTGCGCAAAACGTGGAGAGCTTCATCCACCCAGACTCTACCTGAGGGGCAGGTCCAACCATTGGCACTGGTGGATGGAGATGCCTTCCCACTGATATGACGTGCGGGGAAAACCAACAAGGGGTGCATCTACTCTGTAGAATTAAGGCAATTCGACACCGCTTTCATTGTCCGGGCTCAATGCTATCCAACCCTGCAAGTTTTAGTTTTGCAAGGTCTTTCTTTGCCCAAGAGTGCTCGTGCCTCACCAAACTGTGTCATGTAATGCTGGTGGTGCAATGGGTTAAACCTTTGTGCCTGCCAGAAAAGTCATTAGTGCAGCAATAAGTGGAGCCCCAATGGCACAATGGGTTACTCACCCCTGTGCCGGCAGGACTTAAGACCAACAAGTTCGAATCCGGGGAGAGCGCGGATGAGCTCCCTCTGTCAGCTCCAGCTTCCCATGCCGGTACATGAGAGAAGCCGCCCACAAGGATGATAAAACATCAAAACATCCGGGCGTCCCCAGGGCAACCTCCTTGCAGAGGGCCAATTCTCTCACGCCAGAAGCGACTTGCAGTTTTTCAAGTCGCTTCTGACACACAAAACGACCAAACTACAACTACCACGATCCCATAGCATTCAGTTCAAGTGGTGCCTGCCAAACTGCACTCGGGGCCCTTTCAGATAGGTCCTATATCCCAGGACCTGATCCCAGGCTTTCTGTTTATCCCGGATTATCTGGCAGTGGGGACTCATATAATCCGGTTTAAAGCAGAAAACTTGGCATCAGGTCCATGGATAGAGGGCCTGAATGGATGGAGACTTTTTTTCGAGGTATTTAGCGCCATATCAACTTCATTTCGTATTTTTATTACAGTGATTAGAAGGTAGCTTCAGCATACTGTTTGGGAGAGAATAGAGATGCGCTGGGATCCTTGAAGCGACTGGCTTGACCTTGAAGGAGCTGGGGGTGGTGACGGCTGACAGGAGGCTCTGGCGTGGCTGGTCCATGAGGTCACGAAGAGTCGGAAACTACTGAACAAATGAACAACACACTTTCTTCATTGGACAAAGTGTCCATGGGTTGCTTTGAGTTTTCCAGAGATATGCCCTCCCTTCACTCCAACATGAAACCTTGGCTGGCTGCCAGAAAAGTCATCAGTGCAGCAATAAGTAAAGCCCCAATGGCGCAAGGGGTTATTATTATTAACCCTTGTGCCGGCAGGACTGAAGACCGATAGATCGGCGGTTCGAATCCCGGGAGAGTGCGGATGAGCTCCCTCTGTGAGCTCCAGCTCCCCATGCGGGGTACATGAAAGAAGCCTCCCACAAGGAGGGTAAAACATCCAAACATCCGGGCGCCCCCTGGGCAACGTCCTGGCAGACGGCCAATTCTCTTACAGCAGAAGTGACTTGCAGTTTCTCAAGTCGCTCCTGACACGGAAAAAAAGATATATCCAAAGTCTGGTAGCTTCTAGGCTTCTAGGGAGAATTCAAGACTTATTAGGATCTCAAGTTTCTCAAGTCGTTCCTCACACAAAAGCAATCACGTGTGTTTCCCCCCGTTTTGAGGGAAACGTGTCAGAGAGGAAACTTTAGCACTTTTAGGCAAGGACTTCCACTGTAAACTAGGCATGAGTTCAAGGAGGAAACTACAACTCTTGGAAGAGCACAGGGGACCCGGAGGCAGGTTTCCTGGGGTGATAACAAAGACGTATTGTCATCCCCAACTCCCTTTGCCTTTGCCCTCCCCTCCCTTTCTGCGTGTGAAGCGGGGAGGGAGGGGGGGAAGAGGGTCTCTGCCTGCCACGCCGTCGAGTGCGAGGGTCTCCAGGCGGCGAGGGGGCCCTTTGATCACGGAAATCCAATTATTTGTGTATATACATTTCCCACACAGTGATTACTTCATTAATGGTCCCGCCTTTATCTCCACCTCCTCCTCCCTCTCCCCCCCCCCCCCCCCCCCCCAATAATCGGGCCTTTTTATCCAGACCAACAAACACACCATAGGAGCTTTGTGGATTCAAAGGATTTGCTTTCGCTTCTGAAAGAGCCGCTCGGCTTTGATGATTGGGCAGCGGCGGACTTCAAAGGCGCCCCATCTTCCCTCTGACTGGCTGGCGGCCCGGCAAAGTCCTTATCAAAGTCTTGGAGGGGATCCCGCGAAGGCAGACGGGGCGGGCGAGAGGGAGGAGGAGAGTCCAAAGGAAGGAGGGAAGGAGCCAGGAAAGAAGGAGGCTGGGCCGCTTCTCCGCACCTCCGTGGCCACTCCATGCCTTGCCTCCCGGGCCCTTCTGCTCGCCCGGCGCGGTAGCCATGGCCGCCGTGGCCGTCCTCCGAAACGACTCGCTCCAGGCCTTCCTGCAGGTCAGTTCCGGGCGGGGATCCGGGCGGGGAGGGAGACCTCGGGAGCGGAACCACTTGGGACAACTTGCAAGGGACACCCGCTAACTTTGGGCGGGATTGCGGGAGGTCGCCAGCCCCCCCCCCCCCCCCCAGTGCCGCTCTCGGCATGGTACAATGAACACAGTTGAGCGCCACTTCTCCCAGATCAATAGCATGGCAGGAGTGTTGTAGGTTTCCCGGGCTGCATGGTTATGTTCTAGAAGCATTCTCTCCTGATGTTTCGCCCACATCTATGGCAGGCATCCTAAGAGGCTGTGAGGTCTGTTGGAAACTAAGCAAGGGAGAGTTCGAAAACATGCCAATGTGAGTAGAAGCATTCTCTCCTGACGTTTTGCCTGCATCTATGGCAGGCATCCTCTGAGGTTGTGAGGTGTCCTAGCATGGCATCCCAGAAGTGGTTTTTTTTTCCTTTAGTCATAGAACCATAGAGTTGGAAGAGACCTCCTGAGCCATCCAGTTCAATCTCCTGCCAAGAAGCAGGAAAGTCGCATCTAGAGTCCTATGCATCACCAAACTGGTACTGCATCTAAAGTGATGTCAACTTTTTTCATTGGACAAAGTGTCCATGGGTTGCTGTGAGTTTTCCAGGCTGTCTGGCCATGTTCCAGAAGCATTCTCTCCTGACGTTTCACCCACATCTATGGCAGGCATACTCAGAGGTTGTGAGATCTGTTGGAAACTAAGCAAAGGAGAGTTTATATATATCTGTGGAAAGTCCAGGGTGGGAGAAAGATACGAGTTTCCCTTTCTGGCCATGTTCCAGAAGCATTCTCACCTGATGTTTCACCCACATCTGTGGCAGGCATGCTCAGAGATTGTGAGGTCTGTTGTAAACTAGGCAAGGGAGAGTTTATATATCTGTGGAATAATGTCCAGGGTGGGAGAAAGATATGAGTTTCCCTTTCTGGCCATGTTCCAGAAGCATAGGAGTCCCTGGTGGTGCAGTGGGTTAAACCACTGAGCTGCTGACCAAAAGACGGGCAGTTCAAATCTAGGGAGCAGCATGAGCTCCCACTGTTAGCCCCAGCTTCTGCCAACCTAGCAGTTCAAAAACATGCCAATGTGAGTAGATCAATAGGTACTGCTCCAGTGGTGCTCCGTGCAGTCATGCTGGCCACATGACCTTGGAGGTGTCTACGGACAACGCCGGCTCTTCAGTTTAGAAATGGAGATGAGCTCCAACTCTGAGTCAAACTGGACTAGACTTAATGCCAAGGGGAAATCTTTACTTTAACTTCAAAAACATTCTCTCCTGACCTTTCTCCCACATCTATGGCAGGCATCCTCATAGGTTGTGCGGTCTATTGGAAACTAAGCAAGGGAGGTTTTATATATCTGTGGAAAGTCCCAGATAGGAGAAATGTCAATGTTCTCAAAGTTTATCGAGATGGTGTGCCTCCAAGAAAGGGATTCCGGGGAAGCAGGGAGAGGGTGGGGAAAAGAGAAAGGAAGTTCTCCCCGCATCTCTCCTTGTTTTTCCAGAAGGAATGTCAAAACTGGGAGGAAAAAGAAATTATTTGCTTGAAAGAAAGATCCACTCTATGTAACATTCAGGTCTTGTGTCGCTCTCAGCGTAGAAAACTTTTCCTCTACTGTGAAATACGTGCAATTTGGCACTACTCTGAACTGCCATAACTGAATGCTATGGGATCATAATGGGAGTTATGCAGCCACCTTGATGTAGTGGGTTAAACCCTTGTGCCAGCAGGACTGTTGACCGACAGGTCAGGTTGAGCTCCCTTTGTCAGCTCCAGCTCCTGATGCAGGGTAAAAACATCAAATTTCTGGGCCTCCGGAGGAGGGGGGAGGGTGGCCCTACGCCACCCACTGGAAAGTTACTGAAAATCTTCACTATTCACTATTCAGTCAAGAGGATTCTTAGTGTTGGGATTCAACCCCACACTGCCCATGTGTCAAGTCCTCCATGAGGAACAGTTTATTTAGCATTTGAACAATCTGAGTGTTTCCCTTCCATGTCTCCTGAATGACAGTTGGGAATGTATCTTTTCCTTCTCTTCTCTCTTTCTGTTCTCATTTTGATTGGTTGTGTAGAATGGATACTTTTCTACTCCAGGCTTTTTGAATGACTTCTGCCTTCTTATACTTTAGTATGGAGAATAGGTGCTGTGTGCTTTGAGATCTCTCTCTGCTTGTGTGTCAGGAGAGATGTAGTGATTGGGCTTCTCTCTCTCTTGAAACCTTTGAAGAGATGGGCGTTAAGAATAGCTCAGACCCCATTCTTGATTATTAAGAAATTCAGTTATTTCTTATTATTGCAAACAAACCTTTTGTGATTTTTAAGATAGGACTCTGCATGTTTGCCTCTTAAGCGCTGAATTCCTTACAGCCACATCACAGGGCATTTCACGCTTTGCTCTGAAATGAGCTGATGCTCAACTTGTGTATCCTGTTTCTTTTTGGATGCTCTGCTTTATTTTAGGGTAGTTTCCCCTAACACTTAGCACCTCTTGCTAACATAGCTGGGTGCTTTGTTGTGAGACAAAGTGTGCATCTCTACATTGTGGCACAAATTAATTTTGCCACTTCTTCAACTGCCGTGGCTCAATGCGATGCGATCCTGGGACCATGTGAAAATACAACCGCCATGATTTGACAGCAAAGCCACATCCATTCATTGTATATACAGCATCTGTTAAGTTTTACAAGTGTGCGAGCCTTCTGTGCTAAGATACCAATATCCCTTTAGTACAGCGTTTCTCAACCTGGGAGTTGGGACCCCTGGGGGTTGAAAGGGGGTATCAGAGGGGTTGCCAAAGATCATCAGGAAACTCAATATTTTATGTTAGTCATGGAGTTCTGTGTGGGAAGTTTGGCCCAATTCTATCATTGATGGGGTTCAGAATGCTCTTTGATTGTAGATAACTATACATCCCAGCAACTACAACTCCCAAATGTCAAGGTCTATTTTCCCCCAAACTCCACCAGTGTTCACATTTGGACATATTGAATATTTGTGCCAAGTTTGGTCCAGATCCATCATTGTTTGAGTCCACAGTGCTCTCTGGATGTAGGTGACTACAACTCCCAAACTCAAGGTCAATGCCCACCAAACCCTTCCAGTATTTCTGTTGGTCATGGGAGTTCTGTGTGCCAAGTTTGGTTCAATTCCATCATTGGTGGAGTTCAGAATGTTTTTTGATTGTAGATTAACTTTAAATCCCAGCAACTACAACTCCTAAATGACAAAATCAATCCCCCCAAACACAAATACCTGATACCCCTCGCCCGTAGCCAGGATTTTGATTGGGGGGGGGGGGGGGCTGCGTTTGATTCGGGGGGAGTATCATTATATCATGCATATGGGATATATTGAGTATGGTGATCAGATCATGATATGAATAAACATAACAGTTTAAATAATGCACCAGTAAGGCCTTCTGGCAGACCACCATGAGAATTTCGGGGGGGGCTGAAGCCCAAGCCCCCCCCCCCCCCCGCTACATGCCTGCATCCCCCACCCCTATTCAAATTTGGGTGTATTGGGTATTTGTGCCCGGTGAATGAAAATACATCCTGCATATCAAATACTTACATTATGATTCATAACAGTAGCAAAAATATAGTTATGAAGTAGCAATGTTTGGGGGTCACCACAGCATGAGAAACTGTATTCAGGGGTCACGGCATTAAGAAGGTTGAGAACCACTGCTTTAGTATAAGCCAGGGCAGTCGAAGTGGTGTCAAACTTCATACTGAAGCATAGATCAGGCCTGGGCAAACTTGGGCTCTCTGGGTGTTTTGGAGTTCACCTCCCACCATTCTCAACACCCTCGGGCTCTTTCCTTTCCCTCCTCAGCCGCGTAAGTGGGAAAGGCAAAAGGAAAGGGCCTGAGGCTGTTAGGAATGGTGGGAGGTAGGCCCGTAGCCAGGATTTTTATTCCGGGGGGGAGGGGGAGTGCTTTTGTATCGTTACCCCAATACCCCCATGCATATGGGATATATTGAGCATGGTGATCAGATCATGATATGAATAACATAACAGTTTAAATAATGTACCAGTAAGGCCTTCTCGCGGACCACCATGAGAATTTCGGGGGGGGGGGGGGGGCTGAAGCCCCACAAGCTCCCCTCCCTGGCTACGGGCCTGGTGGGAGATGAACTCCAAAACACCTGGGGAAGGGCCCATGTTTGCCCAGGCCTGGTGTAGACCTCTGCGAGGTTGACTGACTCTCTGACTGACTGACTGACTGAGGGTGTCTTTTCTGTCTTTCCCCGGCAGGACCGGACTCCGAGCGCCTCCCCGGACTTGGCCAAGCGCTCCCCGCTGGCCCTCTTGGCCGCCACCTGCAGCCGCATCGGGCAGCCGGGGCCGGGCTCTGCCGCCCCGTCGGACTTCCTTCCGGGCCCCTACGAGGCGGGCCTGGGCTCCCCGCCTCCGCCGCGGCTCTTCCACCCGTGGGGCGGCCGCGAGATGCCGGCGCACTCCCCGGGCGGGCTGGGCCTGCAGCAGCCGGGCTTCGCGGCGGGGGGCGGGCACGAGCTCCCGCTGACGCCGCCCGCCGACCCCTCGTACCCTTACGAGTTCTCCCCGGTGAAGATGCTGCCTCCTCCCCCGCCGCCCCCTCCTCCTCCTCCAGCCTACGCTCAATACGCCGCCCAGGCCGCGCTGCCGCCGGGCTACTCGAGCCTGCTTCCTCCTCCGCCCCCGCCGGCGCCGGAGGAGCTGCCCTGGTGGAGCGTCGTCCCGCAGGCGGCTGCTGCGCCCGGCGCATGCGCGCACGGCTTCGCGAGCCTGCCACGCGGCGGGCTGGTTTTGGCGCCCTCGGAGCTGGCGCAGTACCAGGCGCAGCTGGCGGCGCTGCTCCGGCCCAAGGCGCCCCTCCCGGCCGCGGCGCGCAGGTGCCGCCGCTGCCGCTGCCCCAACTGCCAGGCCGCCTCCGCCTCCTCCTCCTCCTCCTCGGCGGAGCCCCCCGGCGGGGGCAAGAAGCGGCAGCACGTGTGCCACGTCCCGGGATGCGGCAAGGTCTACGGGAAGACGTCGCACCTCAAGGCGCACCTGCGCTGGCACACGGGCGAGCGGCCCTTCGTCTGCAACTGGCTCTTCTGCGGGAAGAGCTTCACCCGCTCCGACGAGCTCCAGCGGCACCTGCGGACTCATACCGGCGAGAAGCGCTTCGGGTGCGCCGAGTGTGGGAAGCGCTTCATGCGCAGCGACCACCTGGCCAAGCACGTCAAGACCCACCAGAACAAGCGCCTCAAGGCCGGCGGTGGCAGCGGGCACCACCACGCATGCGCCGTCAAGAGGGAAGCCGAGGCGCCCCGGGAGGCGTGAGGAAGGGCGCGAGGCCCACTCCAAGGCTTCGGCTCCTCCTGGAAGGGACTTCAAAGGCGCCACGTTTGAGGGCTTGGAATAACATCAGGCCCCTACGAAGACACTCCCCTTGAACTCTGAATGGATTCGGTGAAATGGAACCTCCTTGGCTTTGAAGGAAAGCCATTTTGCATCAAACTACAGAAAAGTAGATTCCCCCTGAACATGAGGAAGAACTTCCTGACTGTGAGAGCTGTTCAGCAGTGGAACTCTCAGCCCCAGAGTGTGGTGGAGGCTCCTTTGGAGGCTTTTAAACAGAGGCTGGATGGCCATTTGTCGGGGGTGCTTTGAATGCGATTTCCCTGCTTTTCGGCAGAATGAGGTTGAACTGGATGGCCCACAAGATCCCTTCCTACTCTTCTAGGATTCTATGAAAGTGGAAGGCTGGAAATTTCCTCCAGTCTGGTCACTTAACTTCCACCTTTCTTTGGATTTCTTACTTTTCTTTTGTTCTGGGATTTTTCTTCTTCTCCAAGCCAATGCTTTCTGGAATCCATTCATTCCTGACTACACATGTCCATAGAGAAGTGGTTATTCCTTGTTTTTTTCCCAGCTATTTCTTGGACTGAAGAGGTTGCTCTCCGTCCTCTTTGGAAACATCTAGTCAGACTCGACTGGATTACAATTCTTTAAATAGAAACCACAGCATTTGCCCTGTTATGAAGGGTTTCGTTTATTACCTTTTTTTAATTCATTGTCTTTAAGGGGAACAGTCAGGGTTTTCTTTGTGTTTGTGTATGTACAGCTTATTTAATAGTTTTGTTTGAATAAAAATGTTTCCTGCACCCCGTCCTTTGGCTTCATATCGGGGCTTCAGCATGAAATGTGTTTCTGTATAGCAGCCTGCACTGCCACTGCAGCGTGGAAATAAATACATTGACACTGGGGTCATCCTGGGAAGATCCCACTGAGTCGGTTTCATTTGATCTTTTCTTTCTTCTGAAAGCTCCACAAAATGCTCTGGTCTAAAGGCGGTCCACTTTGCTTTGTTTGTTCAACGCAAATAAACAAGTCCCCCATTTACTGGGTGAGTAACCCATTAATTAGAACTACAATATGCATCTCATACGCCACCTTCTTATAATTGCCCGATCAATTTACACTTTCTTAGAATTGCTCAATCAATTTTTGTGTGTGTGTCAGGAGCAACTTGAGAAAGTGCAAGTCACTTCTGGTGTGAGAGTATGGGCCATCTGCAAGGACGTTGCCAGGGGATGCCCGGATATGTTACCATCCTTTGGGAAGCTTCTCTCATGTTCCCGCATGAGAAGATGGAGCTGACAGATGGGAGCTCACCCCACTCCCCGGATATGAATCAGCAACCTTTTGGTCAGCAGTCCTACCAGCACAAGGGTTTAACCCATTGCACCCCTGGGGGGGGCCAATCAAATGCAAAGATAGTTAAGTTTCCCATTGTGAAAACACCCCGGAAATACATATCTGGGACAGCTTGTCTTTGCACAGTGGCAGAATTAAACCCTGTGAATTGGCAGAAATACAAATAAATTATTTTTCAAAACTGCCATATCCTTAAAAAAATGGAAGCTACTCCACAATAAAAAAAATTGGTACAGGATTTGGTGCTTCTTTAAAGTGAAGTGGAATAGTTTTCCAAAATCAGATGAAGTTAAAAGTTTTTGTTTAATGCACACAATTCATTTTATACCAGGATGTTATGATAGTATTTTTTACCCAAGATCAGTCACTTTAGGATTGAGGTGTTAGTAGAAATGCTCATTTGAAATAAGCTTGTGTTTGGAATTCTGTTTATTCATTTTTTCCTCTTGAAAAGCCTTTGGCAAAACTTTTAACAGTGAATACAATGCTGAATTCATAAACAGATTCCATAGGAATCTCTGGACCTGCATTTATTCCCAACTACATTGTATGTCTCTATAGATGAACAAGCCACAAACATGATGATAATAACAACAACAACTTTATTCTTGTGCCCCGCCTCAATCTCCCTAAAGGATCTCGGGGTGACTTACAAATGGCACAATGTGCCTAAAACAACACATAGCATAAACACATACAATACAAGATAAAACCAATAGCATATAAAACAATAATTTAAACTCAAAACAACGCCTAATAATCTATAGCGAGAACTGTCATGAATCCTGGCCAATAACAAGGGAATGAATAGTGCAAATTGTAGCTGACGAGCAAGGGCATGAGACGAAAGTGCAGTGCTGTTACTAGCACCATAGCTATGTGGTTTATATATTGCATGGAACAACATCATGAAAACCCCTGCGGGGTGAGAAGGGCGGAATATAAGAACTGTAAATAAAAAATATTCATAGGTCTTACTATTCCCTAGGTATTGTACAAAACATATAGCAAGATGTAACAGGAATTTGCAAATGCGGTCTTTTTTAAGATTATGATATTGAACCTTGGGGAAGGAAAATGATTTTGACATCCACAATATGCCATGGAAATACCTGTAGAAAGTGGTGTTAGTTTATGTCAATTAAATACTTCCAATGTTTTAATACATTGCTTAGATTATTTGGATTTGCAATTATGTTATAACAAGTGTCTTAGACAGTTTTGTAATGCTACCTTAATAATCTCAATTGCAAGCACTTAACTTTGGAGGCCAAGTTTTTAATTCAGATTTCTGTCACATAATTTTCTCTTGTGCTGAGCTGAACATTCCAATTTGAAAGTTACTTGTCTATCACTTTGGATGTATGCCAATGAGAAACTCATTTTCAAGTAGATGGATGCAGGTACTCTCCCCTTTCCCCCTCTCATTTTCATTAATTGGGATTGTGCTGTACATGTGGTATTGGTTTAATTAAAATACATAAGGGATGTAGTTGTCTGAATTTTAAACATTCACTTAGTTCTTGTTACAATGTGGCAATGTGCACAGGGGAAAGGAGGCATCAGTGTTGTAGTTAAACGAGCCACTTAAATTATGCAGAAGCTGTCTTTGTCTAAAAGACATGTCAAGAGACATATATACATAGGCTCAGCCTAATATTTCTCACTTAGTAGTAGAACTTTCATTAAATTAGCTGGATTGCTGGGCTTGTTATCCATTACCCTTTTATGGCTGAGATATTGATCCAATTCCATTGTGCTGAATAAAGCAAAGGCTGGTCTTAGTAACACTCAGTCTAAGGCTCTTAATAATACCCAGTTTAAGGCACCATACAATAAATGGGAAATTATACCTGGGGTACAGTATTGATTTATTCCATTGTCTAATCACATATAAACAAAATTAGCTATATTTTTATAGATTGTATGTGGGGGGGGGGTTAAGTCAAGAACAGCTCCATTAGTAATTAATGCATCATTTTTTAAAGTAGTCAGGGATTATATTCATCCAGTAATAATACACATTCTGATTAGGATGCTCCTGTTTTGGCTAACTTTTTGTTGCTCTAGATATACAATCACGTGCATGCATGCTACACAGTCATATTTAATTCTGAATTCAGTAGTAATGTGATCCAATGCATGTTTATTCAGAATTAAATATGACTGTGTAGCATGCACAATGTTCCCACTCAATAGGACATGGATATACCTAGTTTCATAGGGAATTCTGTCCAACTAGGTATATCCATGCCCTATTAAGTGGGAACATTTTAAAGACAATTCTTAAATTTCCCACTGAGGCCCCTTCCACACAGCTGAATAAAATCCCACATTATCTGCTTCGAACTGGCATATATGGCAGTGTGGACTCAGATAACCCAGTTCAAAGCAGATAATGTGGGATTTTCTGCCTTGATATTCTGGGTTATAGGGCTGTGTGGAAGGGCCCGGAATGTAATGGGACCGGAAAGTGTTTAACTGCATCGGTTGTGCCTCACTTTTTAAATACATTTAGCACAACATTAAAATAAAACAGGTTCACCGATTGAGCAAAATGATTGACTTATTGTATGCATAAAACTCTTGTCTTTGCTCGGACTCAGAAACCAGACAATGTAGAAGAAAAATCTGGGTCAACTCTGTATTCTACAAATGAAACAGCTACACACTTTTAAAAAGTAAATGCTTTTGAAAGTCTTAAAAGCAATTCCAATCTTGGTGTGATATAGATGGTATGTTGATATTCTGTGATTATTTGCTTTACTATGTTGTTTACAACAATAACAAAGAATCAAAGTCTTCAGTCTGCCTTACATGTCGTGATTATAATGGGTCAATAGTATAGAAACAAGAATGATGTCCTGATTTGGGGGGGAATTGTGGGCTATAGATGATGAAGTAAGAAGAAGAAGAGGAAGGGATTCCAGACAGAAAACAACCAGCTAACACCTAACAAAGGAACCCCCTAGGCAGGAAGCAGCCAGGCTTTGAAGCTGCAAGGCCACCCAATGCTAATCATAATCAAGGTGGCCAATTGCAACATTCACACTTGCCTCCAACAGACAAAAGTTCTTTCTCCTACACACACACACACACACACACACACATACACACACACACCTCACTTGCTTAGTTTCCAACAGACCTCACAACCTTGAGGATGCCTGCCATAGATGTAGGCGAAATGTCAGCAAAGAATGCTTCTGGAACATGGCCATACAGCCTGGAAAACTCACAGCGACCCAGAAGAAAAAAGCATTCACTACACGCAGTGGTTCTCAACCTGGGGTCCCCAGATGTTTTTGGCCTGCAACTCCCAGAAATCCTCTCAGCTGGTAAACTGGCTGGGATTTCTGGGAGTTGTAGGCCCAAAACATCTGGGGACCCCAGATTGAGAACCACTGCCCAATAGGCATGATTCCAGATATTCGTGTTTTTCAAAACAAAAGAACCAGAATCAAAATTAAAGTTAAGTCATATTACTGCCAGTGGGGTAGTCATTGTCAGATGGTTGAGATCTCGTAAAGTGGGAAGTACATATATGTCTCAGCCTGTTGTCCTCCAGATGTTTGAACTTTCACCTTCAATGAGTTCTTACCATTGGACATCTTTCCATTCACTCGGGCTGATGGGAATTATAGTCCAAAACATTCAGAAAGCATCACATTGGGGACGGCTGCTGTACATCATACAGACAATTGGTGCTAAGT